TTACATATTCATTTGGAGGAGAATACAGATAGCAACTTGGCGGCATTAATCACATTACAAAATTGGTTGTGCTTAATTAATTACAGTTACACTGCAAATTAATTGTGGATTCCCACAATATTATCTTAAACTAATGAAGGTTTGACAAAAAGATGGTTTCTTTCTTTCTTTTTAAAGCATGCTAGATTAGTGGGATCTTAATTATGACTAAAACAATAGAGGGATGCTCGCATGGTGTGGAGCAAAACGTGACAATTCAGCACTTTCTTCCAACCAAGAAAAAAACAAAACAAGAAAGTTTCCATTGTTTTAGGAAAAAAAACTGAACATGGCAATGATTCGGCCGATACACGGGGAATAATGAGCGCTGTAATTAGCTGGATGGGCATCGGTGCTCAGAAACGTTGATCAAATAAAGAGAGGCTTGATAATGCCATTCACATGTGGCAGTTTTAAACTCAAACACCTGAGCCGAGCAGCATCTGCTAAACTTGCCTCTTTTCTTGTGCACGTCACTGCAGGTTTTGTTGATTGTGCATCTTAAAAATACAGCAAATGAGGTCTAACATGAATAATGAGTGCCCAGATTAGACGCTCAAGTGTGAGCTATAGGCTAAGATTGACCCCTAAAATGACTTAATATAGTCTCAACCGGTGGTTTAGAAACAAAAGCACATTTATTTTTGAAATTTTCTGCCTTATTTAACTTGAATTAAAATTAGCTTTCAATGGGTGGAAGCTTAGAATTCACTCATTTTATTTTCTCATTTAACGCATCATATACCAAATGTCTGAATGTTTCCTCTGATCTGCCCAGTAAAGGGCCTAAAAAATGACATCAAATGCCCAGTGATCAAATTAAAAACTGTTTCCAGCCCTGCTGATATAATTTCATTTGCCTAGCTTCATTAGCCAATAATCACATGAACAAAAAAACGATGCTTTTTGTCAGCTACGGGAACTGAAGGGTCAGCGAGGATGAGTTTTTCACACTGCTGCACATGATTATCTAAAGTGGCCTTGTAGCAGCGAATTAACCCTGAGCATGTGTGTGTGCGTGCAATCAAATATGTCTGAAATGTGCATCCCTAAACGATAAGCGGCTTTGAGCCAAAGGTGATGAGGTGAGAAACTATTCCCTTGGCTGAGTGAGATGGAGCACAGCGTTGGGTGGTCACGCCTTGTCTGCTCACGACAGTGGCGGGTTAAAGAGATTACACCGGGGTCTGTGTCAGCTGCCCTGGCCTCGCACACAAGAACATAATGAGGAAGGACATGCTTGGCTGCTGGGCAGAAAAATAAACGAGGCCTGAAGTTTGACGCAGCTTTCGCAAGCAGCTAACACATTTTTTTTTCCACCCTCTGTGTGTTGTTTCAGAGGAGGAAGTCGATAAGTAAGACATTCCTCTGAGTAAAATGAATGTTTGTGAGGGGGATGGCAGCTGGAAAAATCAATGCATCTGTCCTATGAGCGTCTGTTTTCTTGTGTTAAAGGTTTGAGTGCCAGTCTTTTCTGCTAATGGATGAACTTTCTTTTCCTGCACCCAGATTCAGGAAGGATCACCTGCATCCATCCAAACATTTACCAATATGCCCATTTTAGGGCTTTCCGATGTTTTTCTGATGAGCCCTGCAACTCTGAACATTCATGACACAAAGCAAATTTCTGGAAAAGCTATTAAACATTTCAGCTCCTGTATCATAAAGTGAAGGTGGCAGAGACTTATGATGCAAATTATTTCTGCCTGAAACATAAACATCACTATTAAACAAGACACAATTATAAATATGTCTTTTATTTTATTAATTTCTGCCAAAATTTATATATATATATAATTTATTATTATTATATTTAATTTGATTTTATACCTTTCCAGTATAGGTTTTTCGTGGAATTCCAAGCCTCACTTTGAAAACCTTAGAGGCTCCGAAACTGTTTCTTCTTTTCCAATGTAATTCTTCAAATTTGCACTCATTTTATGCAAAAAGTAATTATTTAAATTACATTTAATTGATAGGCCTGTCTGATATTTTATTGAAACTTCGATTATAAATCAAAATGTAAATAATTATTAAACAATATAATAAAATAATTATTTTATTAACAACTTTAAAAAGTATTTTTATAGCGTTTGTGGTGTTTCCTTCAGATACCAGCATGTGTTTCTCTCTTCTAAAGGAAGAACCTGTTGCTATTGATCTGATCACTGATCAACTCTTAAATCTGATTGACAGAGACAAACTGAGAATGAGTCAAAGAGCTGACTCTGCACATATTTTAGGCGGTGAAATGCAGCTTTTTAAACATGCATCAGCTTTTATTGGTCACACAAGTTATCAGGACGTCAAGAAGTGATAACAGCGACACTCTGATTCTTCTAAATGACCCGAAAACATTATTTTACCTGTGGTGAACTGGGAGGACGCAACCATTCACGGCACACAATGGGGACAGCAGACCGTGCGTAAATGGCATCTTCATTTGCATTCCTAATAATAAAAAAAAGATGAAAAAAAAAAAAAAACGTGCAAATCCTAATGAGACAGTTTCTTTTGTTGTTGTATTTGAAAGCTTTTCTTTGTTAATTACTGTTTCTCAAAGGGGGGCGGTCACTGAGCGGAAGCAAAATGGACAAACCAATATTTTATTATTGATTTATTATTGTAGCTTTCGATTTAGACAATGTGCTTTTAATTAGGACGTCACCAGAAATAAGATGGGAACTTAATACTCGCCTAAATAATGCGAAATAAGGCAGTAAATGACGTCATAGTGGAAGATGAAGACAATGAGCTGTTTGGGTTTAAATCAGTTTGAATTTATTGTTTTTAAAAATAGATTTAATTTTCTCTTAAAGCTTCCGGTGAATATATTTGATCTGCTCTTAACCCAAACCCTAAATTTCGTTATCTTTCAAGTCAAATAGGTGTAAAAAAAAAAAAAATGTATTAAACTGGAAAAAGTGTCATAAAATGCAGCTTTTTCCTCTAAAGGGCGAAAGAAAAAAATCCATTCGTTTATTTTAACTGCATTATTATTATTATTATTTTACATAATGTTATTTAGGTTATTCAGAAGAGAGCATCAAGACGTCCTCATATTTCCCAACATTCCTCAGGGGGGACCCCGCAGCCCCCTCAGGGCTCGCAGAGTCTGCGCTGGTGGTCCTCCGACCCTTAATTAGGAAATTAGCTGCACGGAGGCCCTCATTATGAAACTGCAGGTTTCTGCGCGCTGATTTGTCTCTTCTTCCTCCTCTCTGCTACCGGTCAATTTCCATAAGCAGATTAGAGGATCAGTGTTGAGATTTGGGCTGATAAACAAATAAGTGGTCCCTGAGAATTATGGCTGCTAATTGGACGGTAGTTTTATGGCTCCCGCGCTGATTGTCACGCCCCATTGAAGGAGAAAATGAAATCCACGCAGTGATGTCTCTGTTGCTTCAGACCAGTCTCTCTTTTAAACTCCCTGTAGGTCATCGTGCCTCATTTGAGAGAACTGTCACGTTTTTCTCTGGTTGTGCAAGTTTTATTTATTTTAATCATATTTGCTCATCTTTATGCTACTTTATTGGAGTGTTTGCATTTAAAGCTGCTTAACGAATTGACTCATTTCCTTAGACAGAAAAGAAACAATTACAGCTGTTTTATCCCTTATCTAAATAGAGTCATTTAAATATTTATTATAATACGTTTAGTTTTTAAACTGAGTAGTAAGATGTTCCTAAAAAAGAGAGAAAGAAGGTTGGATATATGTCTGGGCGGCATGCCTCCGCAGAGGCTCTCTTTTTTATTTTATTTTTTACAGTGTTTATTTTATATATATATATATATATATATATATATATATATATATATAATCATTTATTTATTTAATCTTTAGTTTCATGGAGTCACGAGAACTCGTTTTCAAGAGGGACCTGTTTGAGCTGCATTTTTACCTGCGAGGTGAGGGGCTCCTGCAGAAACCCAGGTGCTACATTTTTGCTCTCGCTCTCAGCAGGTGTGAGCTGTGCAGGTTTCAGGTGGGGGGTTGGGGGGGGGGGGACACATGCCACTCCAACATGCTAATCGTTTTCGATCACCATTAACTCCGCGGAGGGAAAACAGGAGCTGAAACTCCGCTCCAGGGGCCGAAGAGATGGACCCGCTCCTCCACAAGAGGTCGTTGATGCATTAGAAGTTTCACACAGAAAGTCCCTGAACGCAGCACAAACTGCCCCCCCCCCCCCCCGGATTTATTGTAAACAAGATTTGGACCGATCAAGTCATCCCATGCTCAAAGGACTTGATGCTTTATTTTTATTTAAACATTTGAAAAAGCTTCAATAGCGCGCTCATCAGTCCGGTTCTGTTTAAACTCAATCATTTTCTGCGCCCCCTAAAAAAAACAGATAAACTGAGCCCAAAAGGACGATTTTAAATTTTGAATGATGGATTTAGAAAAAAAACTTTTTGTCTTAAAAGTAAAAAAAAAAATTAAAAAAAAAAAGTTAAATGTGAAACAGAAAGTTTCGCAAGTGAAAACAGACGTTTTGTTTCATTTAGATTAAAATGTGAAAATTTTCTTTCTATAAAAAAAAGAGTAAACTTTTTATTTTTATTAAAAGATAACTGGAGGTCTGAAACATTTAAAATGTTTTAATTCTGGCGTGATCTGCTCTTTATTGAACTAAAATTCAATCCGGGTGAAAGTTTTCATTAAAATCTTAATTTTACGCAAAAAAAAAAAAAATACACAAAAAAAAAAGCGTAAGTTGTAGTCATTGTTTTTGTTCAATAATAAACTCGAATAATTTTCTGGTCCACTTGTTTAAAAGCTGCAAACCCTCTGCTCAGGTTGGTAAAGTGCGCGTTTAGAACTTCCTCCCGTTTGCGCGCTCCGGTTGGACGTGCAGAGCTGCGCGCTGATTGGTCGCCCTGTCCTCCTGTCACTTCACATCACATGGTCCGGCCTCTGGGCCTATTAACGCCAGAGCTTGGAGAACAAGTTTCCAGACTTGTGTTAGAGAGCGCAGTGGAGAGGACTCGAACCACCTGCAGACACGCTCAGCCGCCTCGCGCACAACTTTTCCTCCTCTTCCCATGACACCGGTCAGTAGGAGCTCTCTTTGACTCTTGGCTGTTTTTGTCAACTTTTTTTTTTTTTTTTGTGTGTGACCACCAAAAGTCGGCCGAATGTATAACATGATGGAAACCGAGCTGAAGAGCCCTCTCCCGCAGTCCAACTCTGCGCCGGGCGGGAAGAACAGCAGTGCCAGCGACCAGGAGCGCGTGAAGCGGCCCATGAACGCCTTCATGGTCTGGTCCCGGGGCCAGCGGAGGAAGATGGCGCAAGAAAACCCCAAAATGCACAACTCTGAAATCAGCAAGCGGCTCGGCGCCGACTGGAAACTTCTGACCGACGCGGAGAAGAGGCCGTTCATCGACGAGGCCAAGCGCCTGCGCGCCATGCACATGAAGGAGCACCCGGATTATAAATACCGGCCCCGCAGGAAGACCAAGACCCTGCTCAAGAAAGACAAGTATTCTTTGCCCGGGGGGCTGTTGGCGCCAGGAACCAATACCGTCAACAACTCGGTGTCGGTGGGGCAGCGCATGGACGGTTACGCGCACATGAACGGCTGGACGAACAGCGCGTACTCGCTGATGCAGGACCAGCTGGCCTACCCGCAGCATCACGGCATGAACAGCCCGCAGATCCAGCAGATGCACCGGTACGAGATGGCGGGTCTGCAGTACCCCATGATGTCCTCGGCGCAGACCTACATGAACGCGGCGTCCACCTACAGCATGTCCCCCGCGTACACGCAGCAGACCCCCAGCGCCATGGGCCTGAGCTCCATGGCGTCCGTGTGCAAGACGGAGCCGAGCTCGCCGCCGCCGGCCATCACGTCCCACTCTCAGAGGGCGTGCTTGGGGGACCTGAGGGATATGATCAGCATGTACCTGCCCCCCGGCGGGGACAGCGCGGACCATTCGTCCCTGCAGAGCAGCCGGTTGCACAGCGTCCATCCGCACTATCAGAGCGCGGGCACCGGCGTGAACGGGACGCTACCTCTCACCCACATCTGAGGGAACGAGACTTTCATGAAAAGGAAGAAAAAGATGGATACTTGAACTTTATTTGGTTGCTACAACAACTTCAAATGTTTTGCTAAAAAAATAATAAACTCAATTACCTAAAAAAAATCTTCTTTTGATTGAAATGGAGTGAAACGTTGAGCCCAGCAGAGAAACCTGCAGAAAGTAGAAGCAATCAAATGTAGAAGGAGTGGACTTCTATATTTTACAATAATAACAATAAAAAATGAAAAAAAATGAATGCCATATTTTCTCTCTTTGAAAAGGCATGTGGCTCCATGACGGGGCTGGTGTATTTCAGAAAAGCTGGATGGACAGTTGTTCATAAATGTTTACACTTTATTTGTAGTCGTTCTCCACAGTGTGCAAAACTTTTTTGTAGTCCTTTATTTTGTTTTTTTATTTTGCCCCTAACATCTTTAGGGTAAATGAAATGGAAGACTGTGCCGGTCGCAAAACACGTTTTTATTTATAGCAATCTTTTTTCCCTTTTCGTTTTAGTTTTATGTGAAAATATTCAAAACGTATTTTGTTGTTCTTTTTGCCAGTTTTATTTTTTGTAAAAGCTCTGTTCTGTGATGGTTTTTTTTTGTCAGTGATGTTTACTCATTATGTTCTAAAAAAAAAAAAGGTTTATTTAAACTGACGTTTCCACATATTTTAAGACCATCCTCTATTCTTTAATGCTGAATAAATTTTTACGAAACATAATTTGTGACTGCGTTTTGTGTTTGAAAACATGAAGAGCATAGTATTTTTACTGCACTCAACTCACAAAATGTGTCTTTTTCAAAGCTTTTTGATAAGAAGCAGAGCAAATAATCTGTCTTAATTTATTTCTGAAAAGGGTGAACAAATAATTTTGAATTAAAACTAATTTAAGCCTAAATGGACGTTTCATACTTAATATTGTGCTCGCAGGCCATTATTTTGGAGATTATCTTAAGAAAATTGTATTTTATTTAGCATTTTTATTTAAAAAAGTTCTCAGAAAAGATGTTTTCGACGCTTCAGTTGCTTTATTTCAATCATCCACAAAATCAGATAATTTATCAACTTATTTTAATATTAGTTAACTCTAAAACTTTTATCATCTTCACTTTATAGTACAAGTTGCATACATCTTTTTGTTGTCACAGTATAAGTGAGGAACAGAAACTCATTCAATCTTTTCATTTAAAATAAATCCAAGGAATTAAAAAATGACATCAATATTTGAGTCCAGTTTTCAGGATAAATACACTAAAAGCACCATTTAATACTTAAACTTTTTAAAGTTTTCTTCTTCGAGACAACATTTCTGACACTCTAAAGTAAGATCATTATAAGTTTTAAGCGTACGCTCAATCATGCAGGTAAATAAATCCCTAAAAAGTTAAATCATATCATCTGGACAGTTTCTTTTATCTAAGTTTAACACAAAATATACATAATTTCTTTTACGATGCTCACGCATCTGGTTTTAAACGCTTGTTTATATCAGACTAAGTGCTCAAGACACTTTAATCCACGATAACTTTTAATAACAAATTGCACAGCAGGTTTAGAGCGAACTGTGGCTGGGACTAGAACACAGGTAGAATGGGTTGTCCTGCTGTTGCAGTGAACTGTACAATAAATAAGCTCTGGTCACAAAGAGGGGGCCGAAGCAGCGTGGCCCTGCTGGCCTTCCCACACTCCCTGCAGGACTGGATCCATAGCTCCAAAGCAGCAGCCTGGATTAGCCCCACGCACCTTTGTGGAGGGACAGATTATCCAGACCTCCCTGCATTCACTGACAGGGTTTAAATCATTCTAGCGTGCCAGCAGCCACCCGTCACCTAATCGCAACCTTCAACTCTCTTTTTTTTTGGTGGAACTAAGCAGCTTTTTTTCTTACTGCTCCTTAGAATTGTGTGGACAAAGCTTAAGTTGGGGGATCATTTATCAAACTGCAATAAAATGATCTGCTTTGTGCGTGACACGTTTGGCGAAAACTTCTAGTTTAAGGTGACGGCGTTTAAGTTTCTGCCTTACCAAACCAACGTCAGGGCGGAAAATTCTCTAACGCCTGATTAGGCCTCGAATTTAATGCGAGGCTTCACTTTTCATTCTGGAAATTCTTGGCGTTAGGACCATCTGAATTTGGCTTCCAACCACCCCACCTCTTTGCGCTCCACTCCCCCCTTGCAGAGTGCCCAGAGGGCCTCTCTTCCTTGTCATGTGGAGCTCTGTGCCCACTCAGCAAGTGCAGGCATATCCCACTTCCATCTGCCTATGACCTCACAGCCCCCTGTTTGTTTAACCCCCCACTCCAAAAACTAACCTAATTATAGCCCTGTAGAACATGGATTCAGGAGATTCCCAGCGGATCTTGCTGCTATCTGTGCACACCAAGAGAAACGGAGGCATCGCCATGGGCCATGTTTCAGTCAGTCCTGTTTCTCTCATATTATGTCAGAACATGTCCTACATCATGTTGGCGTGCATTAAAAAAAAGTGTTAAAGCAACAACAAAAAGCGTAGGAGTGTGGTCAAAGTGTCTCCTTTTACGTCAGTGCGACAAGTGGAAAACTCATTAGACAAATCTGGCTGACAGGCAGACGTTTGTGACATCACCTGCGCTCCTGTTGGACCTGCTGGGCGACTCGCAGCAGGAGCACACCTTCGGCTCTCGGCGAAATCTCCGTCTAAGATCTGGAACCTCCCTCTGATGCTCAGATTAGGCCTCGGCGTAGTTTGGGTGTAACGGGGTGAACGCTTGAGCGCTGCTGAGGACTGCACCTATGACAGATTCAGACTGTATTGATTTGCTTTGGCTGGGTTTCTCGTGAGGCCCTTTGAAGCCCTGGGGGGGGGGGGGGGGGGGGGGTGGGGGGGTGGAAGAGGGTCGGTTGCTACAGGGCTGACTGTCCAGCTTGGGCAGGCCTGGTCCAGAGTGGAGCGACCTGTGTGAGGTTTTGAGATTGACAGCAGAGTGCGGCGTTTGAGGCTGTAGAGGTGCAGGGGGCTGAGGATGGGGGTTAATCTCCCTGAACTGGGGCAGATGTTGTTAACGAGCTCCTCTCAGGTCGACTCCCTGCGTGGGAAAATGGCATCAAATCCTCCTGGGGTCAGGGCTTTTGGGTTGACCCAGTGAGAGCCATCCCTCTCCACAGCACCGTCCTCTTCGTGCACCGACCCACCCACCCACTCACTGACAGCACTCACCAGAGAATTTAAAGATCACGTTTAACACTTTATTCTTACCTTTCCATCTTTTATCTTCAGGTCTCAGCCTGAACTTTTGTTGCGTGCTGGTGATGTCTCATTAGTGTTGACTGTGGCTGGATCACGATGCCTGACACAACCACAAGGAATGCTGAGTGGGAAACGCTTCAAAGAAAAGCATGCCGCCGCTCAAGAACATGCATCCGCCCAGGACCGCGCTACTTGTCTAAATAGAAAGTAAGTTTGATGCAATAAGGCCCAACAGACTTTTAGGTTCCCGAGTTGTCATTTAGAACATCTGCAGAATTACCAGCACCTTGGATTGTCAGCAGTAAAGTTTCCTCTTTAAAAAAATTTTTTAAATTGCCTTCATGCAAAAACAAGATATAAATGTCACCCTTTTATGGTTGATTTTGACAGAGTAATAACAATGTAATGTAATAAAAAAGGTAGCTTTTCTTACTGCATGACAAGTTTCAAATATATTTTCTTCAAAGAAATGTGACAACACAAGACTGACGTTTGAAAAGCTTTAAAGTATAAGCTAACATCTGTCAAGGAAAGCGTTCAATAAACTTAAGCAGGACTCTTCAACTAAATTTCTCAGGGAGCCACAGTTACTGAAAGCCAAGAGCTCAGGGGCCGGACATCCAGCAGTTATTGCCATTAAAATGTTTGTTTTATGGTTTAAAATACTGTATTTTTTGGACTATAAGGTGCACCTGATTATAAGGTGCATTAAGTGAGACAAAACAGTCAAATAAGTCAGACTTTATTCAACTCATTCACAATAACCACATAAAATTGGTTCGAGGTCAGTAAGCACAACCAGAATCAATACATAAGGCGCATCTGATTTTTGAGAAAATTAAAGGATTTTAAGTGTGCCATATAGTTCGAAAACTACGGTAGTTTTATTTAAAATTGAATACTTTGGTGGGCCAAACTGAGTTCACCCGTGGGCTTGATGTGGCCCCCGGGCCACCAGTTGAATAACCCTGCTCCAAAGTGAGTTTTGTTTGAAGATTAACGGCATTACTTTGACGACAGCTGAATGAATACATAGCTCAAGAGCCCCAAACCTCTAAAGCATGGTGGAGGTTATTTCATAATGTGGGGTTGTTTTTTTGCCAGAGGCATTGACTGTAACAAACAAAGGCTGAAATTGGAGGACTGTTAGACATTTTATTAAAAAGTGCCACCAAACACATCCAACATAGACAATAATATGAAAGGAAAAACGTTTACTCTTTAAATATTTAAACTATTTAACAGTTATGAAGAAAACCTGCAGGGTGGAGAAACCGTCTGCAAAAACACGCTGAGGCTGTAATTATGTTTGGAGTCGAATGTGCTCAGAAATATTATCAAATGGTTCAGATTGTGCCAACTGAATAATTTTGAATTTATTTATTACAACAAAAACGAGCTCACGGTTTGGAGGTGCTAAAAACTTTGAATAAAGTTCAAACTGATTGTGTTTCGACAAATCAACCTTTTAATTAATGGTTTTTTTTTAAAGTCATTTGTTTTGTTTTAATTATGTTAGTCACAAAAAGAACCTTGAACGAACGACTTTGTTGTTTAAAATGAACACTTGTTGGGTTAAGATTCCAAAACAGGTTGAACGTCATAAAACAGGAGGTCAGAAAGGTCGAAAAAACAAATTATTTATTTGATTTCATTCTTTAAAACTGCAAACATCTTTTTTTAATGTAGCTTGCCCTTTACAGACTGTCTCTTTGTGTTGACTTGATTGAACAACTTTCCAGAAATCAACAAAGAATCCTGCAAAAAATAATTTCTGTTTGTGAGAACCATTCTGTTTTTTGACCTGTGTACAGCCTGAGCACATATTACCTATGATGTGGCTTCGTCTCATCAATCACATCCAGAATGGGCATGTCTCCGCTCCATATCGTGTCAGCGTGCCTGCATTAGGGTTTATCCTAGCTTAGGTTTTAATGCAAAGGTCATCCATTAAGGTGTTTGACTCTGAAGGCGTGTTTACTCTGCCGCAGCAGGTGTGTGTGAACACGAGACATGTCAAATATGAGTCAGGATTACTGTCGTTTTTGTCCCAAACAAAACAAATACAAATCACACGAAGACCTGAAACGAGAGGAATCTGTTCTTTTTATTGCCGCCCGCTCTGTGGATCCTTTGACATTTTTTGTTCGGTTGAGCTCTTGAAGCTGTATTTGCTTGTAAATGCAGTCGTGTAAACCACATGTGCGCGCACACATTCGCGGCAAACAACCTAGAACGAAACGG